GTATGTGCCTGTAGTCCCAGCTACTCAGGAGGCTGAGGCATGAGAATCGCTTGAGCTTGGGAGGTTGAGGTTACAGTGAGCCAAGATTGCACTACTGTTCTCCAGCCTGGGCTACAGAGTGAGACTGTGTCTCACAAATAATAATAATAGGCTGGGCACGGTGGCTCATGCCTGTAATCCCAGCACTTTGGGAGGCTGAGGCGGGCAGATCACGAGGTCAGAAGATTGAGACCCTCCCGGCCAACATGGTGAAACCCCCTCTCTACTAAAATACAAAAAAATCAGCCAGGTGTGGTGGCGCAGGCCTGTCATCCCAGCTAGTTGGTAGGCTGAGGCAGGGGAATCGCTTGAACCCAGGAGGCAGAGGTTGCAGTGAGCCGAGATTGCATCACTCCACTCCAGCCTGGCGACAGAGTGAGATATGGTCTCAATCAATAAATAAAGTAATAATAATAGTAATACGAGACCAAAACAAGTTCTACCCCCCCAGACACCAACTACTTCCAGCGATGCATTGTGGCTCACAGCCTCTCCAAGGTAATTCCTTGCTACGCAGACATAGACTCCCTCATCAGGTCTACTTTGTCTTCCATGTACTATACGTAAGAAAAATAAAGATCCACTTGGCAGCAACATTCGGTGTGAGCGAGGCTCATCTTTGTCTGTCTCTACTCTCTCTCCCGCTTTGTACCATTCAACAGTGGGTGTGGGGCGGCCTCAGCTTTGCAGTTCAAAGTTGCAGGTTCTCCTTTTGAGACAATCAGGTCTGAAGAGTGCTCAACAATGCGAGGTGGAAAATCTTCCTGACGAAGACGGGAGCCTGAACAGAGACATATTAATCCAAACAGGTAAAAGTGAGCAGGCTCCGCAATCATTGTCCTCGGGTGGATCCTGCATACAGTCTCATGCCAAGAGGAGTGAGTAGAAATAGGTCCCCAAATGTATGAAGCCACACACCACACATACCCCACACAAAGGCTTAATATAAGCAACGTGGGTCAATTAGCCAGGAGTTTTCAGGGCAATTACTCGTCGACCTTTCCGGACGCTTGTCAGTATCTTAGAGCCTTTTGCAAAGGAGGAATTCCAAGGTTGGTCTTCTCCGGCCCCAGGATTTCCGAGGAGGCTCAGACACTTTGAAGAACCATCCAAAGCGAACAACAAAGAGCCGAAGCAGAAGTGCAGTAGTGCCGTTTCCTGCCTCCACAGTCTAGCTGAGCGTCCCGGCGTGCGCCCCACAATGTGCGCCCGAGCGCCGCTGCGAGGGCAGGCGCGGCGACGGCAAAGTTGGGGTGTGAGAGCGGATCGGGGAGGGCCAAAAAGTGCTTCTCTGTCTCCAGGCGAGCCCAGTCAGCAGCGGGCCACCCACGGCGGCGGCGAGAGCAGCCAAAGTAGCAGCAGCAGCTCTGGAGGACGGGCTCGGGGTGCCGGGAGTGTGGCTGGGTGACTCTGCGCGCAGGGGGCGAGCGAGGGGGCGGTGCGGCGACGGCGGCTGCCTGGGCGGGCCCTTGTTCCCATCACTTGGGGGATGCGGAGGGTACTGGGGACAGCAGCAGGACCGCGGACACTCGCACGCCTTCCAGGCGCCCCCAGCCCCGCGAGGCGCCCAACCTCGCCCCGGCCCCTCGCTCTCTGGCGCGCGCGCAGGCACCCCCAAACTACGCTGAAGCCCAAACTTCCTGGTGGTAGCTGCTTGCACCCCGGGCTCGTGGAACAAGGGGCTGTAAGGGAAGCTTTATCATTTACTCCTTACATAAAAGTAAAAGGAAAAGGCGCAGCAGCTTCCCAGTAGGACGCTGTCACCCCCCTGTGCTGCGCACTGTGCTGGAGGCGCTGCAGGCAGGGGAGCAGCGCCGGGGCACGTTGGTGGCAGCCATCAAGCTCTACATCCTGAAAAAGTACCCAACGATGGATGTCCTTCGCTTCAAGTACCTGCTGAAGCAGGCGCTGGCCACTGGCACGCGCCGTGGCCTCCTTGCCAGGCCCCTGAACTCCAAAGCCAGGGGGGCCACTGGCAGCTTCAAATTAGTTACCAAGCACAAGAGGAAAATCAAGCCTAGGAAGATGGCCCCTCCGAAGGCCCCTAGGAGAGCGGGTGAAACCAAGGAGAAGGTCCCTAAGAAACCAGATGAGGCCAAGGAGGAGCCTCCCAAGGCAGACAAGGTCAAAAAGGCAGCCAAGAGGCCAGCAGAGGTGCAGAAGTTTCCTCTCAAGCCAGGTGCAGCCACAGAAAAAGCTGGCAAGCAAGGCAGCAAGGCCAAGGACACCAAGGCACAGCCAGGCGAGGCTCAGAAGCTGACCCCCAAGCCAGACAAGGCCATGCGGACCCCTTCTAGTGCCAGCAGGTTCAGCAGGAAGACAGAGGCCAAAGGCAGCAGGAGGATCCAAGGA